TAGTATTGTGTAATTAATTCAAACCATTGTGTATTTAACTCGAATTTTGCTATAATAGGCTCTGTTCTTAACTAAGGGTCATCCATAAACCAGGTGTTCTTAACCCAGGGACTACCTGTACCTTTAATTAGCTATTTTAAAGTTAGGGTGTCCAAATCCGTCCACTTTTTACATTCTACTTTTAAAAATAATATTTTAAATTTTAAGATACTTTCTTATATTGGCAATTTATTTCATATTTAGATAATTTGAAATATGAAATAAATTTGAAACCTATATATTCTAGGTTTATTATTTCTGTGAGTTATCAACATTTTAAATCTTTGCTCTGAATGATGACCCTAGCACTCAATGTTTGTTAGTGACATGATATCAAATCATAAAACTAATCCTTTGTGTCTGATTTTTTAATGAATACTTAAAAGTGGACATTCAAGACACATTTGAACCCAGAAAGTAAGTGAAGGGGCTCTCAAGTAGCAAACTTAATTATATCTGATCCATTGCTACATGCTTTTTGATTGGTCATGCTGACTGAAAATTCTGAGAATTATAGGCCAATATATCATGCTCCACATTGAAGAAGGCATATCTAAAATCTCTCTAAAGGGGAACTGCTTCCTTTTTGATCCACTGGCAGCTGTCTCCCATCATCTGAATGAAAGCTTATGCATAAAGCCTACTAGACTTACTTTTCATTCTACAAGACTCAAACAGTTTCTCAATTAAGGTTGTACCTTGTGCAAGTATGTTCCATTGCATGACTCTAATGGGCTGATGGTTTCTGACAAAGCTGGTCCTCAAGTCCAAAAAATCCCTCTGGAGTCGGGCTGGGCGGTTCTGAAGAACAATCTGGCATTCTTCAAGCAGATCTTTGGGATCTATAGGATCCAGAAACTCAGGATCTGTTTGTTCCAAGTACTCTTGGTGTTTAGTAATGACACTGCTATTCAAAGTCTTTGCCAGTGCACTATATAGCCTGCTTGTACTGTTGCCCATGGAACACCCTGAAAAGGAAAGAAAGAGGGAACTTCAGTATTAAAATCAAGCACAAGCAATTCCCAATTCTAATTTGTTAACTTCTTCTCCCAGGTCAAAACAAATGAATTCATCATTAGAGTTCACATACAATGTGACAGTGTTACAGTGCTGATAGCTTCCAGATATAATGAACTTCAGTTTTCAAAATTTGCAACCAGTGAATTCCAGGTTGCAGAAGGATGCTACATAACATAGGCAAGTACAACAGACAATGTATTTTTCAACACGAGGTTATCAACGCAATATGCATTTCCCTTCTTAAATACTGCAAATCTAAGCTCCCTTTTTATTTTGTTCACTTAAGATATTTCACTTAGTCATTTTTTATGAGCTCCATAAACAAAGCTTTGGGCCCTCAGAATCAGCCTGTGTCAAGGGATCTCAACAAAATTCTGAGAATTGTAGCTTTTTCCAATTGTCTGTTCAGCTCTTTCATTTATTGGACTCATATCTGAAGGTGACCTATCACATTCCAAACATTTTCTACCAAGCTGTATAGTACAACTGGTTATGCCAATAGCAGCAGCTACTAAATCTGAGAGTGTAATTCAACAGGGCTGCTTCTTGCTAAACAACCCGTCCTACATAATCTCTCTCATGCCACATTGTAGAACACGGAACTTTACTTCTTCCTGGTTTCACAAGAAGACCAAATTGGTCATAAATATTCTGCACTATTAACCAGCAACATACATTTTATAATCATGAATCAGTATAAAATCCATTCACTTCTACTTCTTACATTCATAAAAGTCAAAAAGGATGTTTCTGTGACTTGTATTAAAGAAATGGTTCGTTCTACAAAATCTTTTTCCTGATACTCTGCAAAATACTCTGCAAAAAAACATGAGATCTGAGTTTCAGAAATGTTTAATTCAGGGAACAGGAAGCTAAAAGAAACTAATCAAATTTAAAACAGAAACAGCTGCAACATAAAATTGTGCTTTGTTCTCTGTGGCTTTTCAATAGCTTAATTTTTCTCTGCAGACATTAGATACCTCATAATCCCAATGATCCTGCTACTAGTAAGATTGTGATATAAATTCTCTTTATAATGTATCAAGCTCCTTCCTGCCTCTGCTAAATAGGCAGTAATCTGAGCGCCATTATCTTCAGCTCTGTATTCACCCACAGAACCAAGAAGCTATCCTGCACTTTAAAAAGAAACCGTTCATATTATTTCCGGGTATCAAAAGATATTTTTCCCCATATTCTTATAATAACATCAGAGCCTCCATTAATCTTTTCAAGGATTCAAATTAATGATTCCCACTATTTTTAAAATAGGGAATAAAGATTTAACTATAATCCTGTTTCCTCCGACTGTTCTTTATAATTCTATTTTAGTCCAACAACTGATAAATACAGGTTATAACTAGAGTTATTCTAGTTGCATTTCTTCTGGAAAACAGGCTTTCTAATAACTAAAAGATAATATTTTAGGAAGTCGCTACTGAGATTAAATGATATTTACCTGATAAATTGGATGGATACATCAGCACAAGTAGTAAACAACTCTAATGGAGAATTGCACACAGAATTGCCAGCCTCCAAAGTCATGTGTGAGCATTTCCTGTACCACTGGTCCACAAGAGACACCTAGTGGTCTTTTATATAACTTTTTCCATTGAAACAGTATTTTTTTTTTAAAAAAATCCACTATCATAATTAGCTGAAGGAAAATCTAAATGTATACCTGCTGTTTGTGATACCTCACTATGTGTTGCTCTTTAATTTAATTTAAACAGCTGTTTCCCTCAATCTAATGATTGCTTGCTTCATGTCCAGTAAAGCAGTGTTTCTCAACTTTGGCAACTTTAAGAGTGTGGACTTCAACTCCCAGAATTCTCTAGCCAGAATCTGGACTAAAGTGATCCCAGTGTTTCTCTCCACCATGGTACTTCAGCCCCACAGCTTGACTATCAAATAGAGAGATCAGTGCTTTGCTTTTTAAAATAAGCTATTTTTCCTTCACCCACATAACTCTTTTGAATGTTCTGGCACTCTTTCTCTTTTGCAATGGAAGACAGAAGTCTCATCACACATCATGTCAAGCCATGGTTTTCATCATCATGATTTACTGGATAAAACTCAATTGGTTCATGATAGTTCCTGAACCATAAGTTATGCTTTAAAAACCACAAGGACTGGATTTAAGACAAAACAAAAAACAAAACAAAACAAAACCCCCCCATATTACCACAATGTGTGAACCTAATCATCACTGGGTGAATTTAGCATTAGCCTTTCTTCACAAGAATTGTATCAGTTAGATTGCTCTTTGTCTAATACCAACAAAATATTCTTGATTTATGTGACTCTCAGTCAAACTCCTTAATGAGTCCAAGAATAAGTTCAGTGAATAAGCAATGATTCTCTTTACCAGTGTCCTCTCAACTAAATTCCTAGAAGTTCTTCACGGCTTGGCTGAGATAACATATTAGGGAGAATTGAAAGTAAGTCATATACAGCAACACACCCAGAACAGGAATGTGTGCTTTGAAACATGTCCTGAGGTAACTACAGCTGTTTCAAAAATGTAAAACGACTTTAGCTGGACTAAAAACAAAGGGAATACTTAAAAAAAAATGGTGTTTGTTATTTCCCTCTCTCTCTCTCTTTCCAAAGAGCTTAAAATCTTATCACAACAGATTAAATTAAAAAGTATAATAGTACCTCTGGAGCAATCCAGTTTTAGATTATAAATCTCACATATGAGCTGAAGGATAGGAGGCCTACATAACTGATTGGCTTTATTCTGAAAAAAAAAAATCAAAGGGTCTATTAAGTTTCCTAGACTTAGGGCTCCTCCAAGTCATCATTACAGCTGTATGCAGCTTTGATTCAGTTTAAAGGCACTGCAATCAAAACCACACCTTCAAATTGTATCTTTATTCTAATTGTGAAATAAATTTGATGTATTAAATCAGTTTGATGGATTCAATAGACTTCTACACATGTGCATAAAATCTTTTATTTTAGCACTGATTAGAATCACCAATTCAAATCAAATTACTTGACCACTTAAATTAAGTCATACATCTAAATCAAATTGATTCTGAATTAAATCACAAATTTGAATTGGATCTTAGCTTATTTGTGCACTTCTGTTCATCACAATTATGCTTTCTGAGATTAAACCAAATACACTATTCTGAATTAACAGAAATCTATAAATGTTGGTGTAATTTAACTGTACAATACACAAAATCACTTCCTAAACTTGCTGCTTAGACCCATTTTTTTAATAGAGCAGCAGAGAAATGCCAGTAATAAATAAATGAACATGCAGCTACAGGAGTATATGTTGTACAAGAATGCCTTATTATTAAAATCTTTACCATTTTTCCAGAGAAAGTTCAATCTGTTGTCAATTATTTTAAAAGCTACAACAGCTACGCTGATCAAAATCTATACTGGTGCAAAACCTTTTCTGGTTCTGAAACAATCTTAACATTGTACTTTATTGCACAGAATAGTCAAAGAATGGTTAGGTAATTTAACATATTTTTCATAAATATGGGCAAGAACTCTCTCCCTCTCTTCCCCCCCCCCATGCAATTTATAGTTGCATATGGTATATGTCACAGAATAGAAAACTTCCCAAGGTTTATCTGCATATTTAATATTAGGCAGGGGTGGTGGGAGCACCTGGAAAGCCTGCAATTGTTATTCTGAAGACAAATCTTTAGCTAGGAAAGACCATTCACGCTGCATAACTGTTTTAACTTGTAATTGTAGTGTTCCTGTCCTATTCTTTTGTGAACAATCTGGAAGTATTTAGTTTTTTTCGTAGCAGCAATACTAACATCAGAAGCAGGATTTCTGGAGTTACCAACCTACCTAATTGTATGACTGTCCTGCCTCTGCTCCCCACCCACCTACAATTTTAGACAGCAATCTGTTGTGACCATGTTAAGCCTGCTTTGCTAAATTGTTTGGAGATGCTGCAATATCCTGGGTATTTTTAATGCCAGTATGACATTGAGGCTGATTCTGTCTGCTTCTTGTCTGGTAAAGCAGATCACGGTCCTCAGCAAAACGATATCAATTGTTCAACTCCTGCAGCCGCATTGCAACAGCATGCAGCAGCAAAATCTTAACATCAAAAAGCGCAGCTCTTATTCTAAAAATGTGTATGTTCTCTGATGGACCAGACAGCAGCAGACATCTAAGCTGTAAAACATTTTTCCCTAAATAAGATGCTTCTCTCCCTTGTTAGATATTTTAAAAATCATATCCTAACAGCCTTTTCCTTCTGATGTAATTTATCAGTAATTTGCAGATCATTCATTTTTTTTTTATATTGAGCTGTAAATCTTTCACAAAGATTTAAAATATGCAGAGCTTAGGAAATAATGGTATGAAAGTCCACTAGCTGCTTCTGTCTAACCTTGATACAGATGAACATTGCTGTTTCCAGCAGAATAAGTGGATTGCTTAATTGTGCCTATCTAAGTTACAGCAAGTTACTCAATAATGCTTATGCAATGATAGTAGATTGTTCAATGCAGACAATTAACATCCACAGAACCAGTCAGTTGCCAGAAATCACTAGGCTCCTCTGCACACAGGGCAATTCTAGCAATTTGTGTTCAGGACATAAGCTCAATGAAGCTTGCTCTGGATTAGAACGTCACCAATCAATAATTGGGCTATTGTGGTGATTGTAATAGGCTGATGTAACAGGTGTAAGCTCTGATATACATTTGCAAGATCCCATGCTCTCTTTTTTTTTTTTTGCACAAAGATTTGGAGAAGTGCTGTTGAACATCTTTTATACATTCAGGTTATTGCTGGTAGTTTCACAGATTGTTAAACCAGTTTATTTAACCAAAACTTGCTGTGTCTACATAATATACTAAGTTGTTTACAGCAGTTTACAATAAGTAGGTGGATTCAACTTCCTAAATGAAAGCCACATCTTAGAATAAAGGATGCAGATATCTCATGGTGTATCCAAAGGGAACTCTCTACTATTTAATATCTATGTGAAGCTCCTGGGTGAAGTGGTCTACCAGTCTGGGGTGCAGTGTCATTGTAATCCATGCACTCATCTCTTGCATTGACGATTGTCATGCACTCTGTGCAGGGCTGCCTTTGAAAACTTCTTGGAAGCTGCAATTGATACAGAATGGCGCAACCTGTTTATTAATGGACAAGAGCTGCCAGTGTCACTTGATGCCTGTGTGAGGATTCTGCACTGGCTTTCAATTGGCTTCTGAATACAATTCAAAATGCTCCTTTTAACCTATGAAGTTCTTCATGGCTTGGTGCTTAGATATGTGCAGGACTGCCTTCTTCTTCATCCTGCTCACTGTAACTTTCAGCCTTCCCACCACCAAAAGTAGCTCATTCCTGCATTTTCATCATTTCACATGTTACCAATAGACTGGAAAGAAAAAACAGCTATATAAGGTAAAGTCATCTTTTGCCTAAAGTGACCACTTGACAAAAGCGGATAGAGAGACATTATATGCAGATAGTTGCCAAAGCTTAGCTTCAAGCAGGTTAAAAAGAGCTAAAGGTCTTTCTGTTTGAATTAGACTTTACTGAATTGGGCAGTAAAGAGAGAGATATTTAGTGTTCATACATGCAACAATCCTGGAAGAGCTGAAGTAGTGGGCCTTACTTCTGAGTAGACATATTATCCTGAAAGCATTAAAACAAATAATTTCACTTTTTTTTTCAGACAAGGTGGTTTGTGAGGTTTGTTTGCAAATTTTTAGGACAGGTGTACAACAGCATTTCAAACTTGAGACCACTGTTTGAAGATCAAAATACTTTTAAAATATCAAAACAATCCCTTTTGCATGTGAAACAATTGTTTCAAATTTGAAACAACTGTTTTAATGTCAACTTGGATAGTTAAATATTAAACACATGATTGGAGAGGAGTCATACTAATTATAATTTTAAAATGAAATCAAATTTAGTTTTTAATTCTTGTCCCATCCACTATCTGGAGCATGGCTCACAGCACCCAAAAGTCAGATTTGACCCTCAACCAAGGAATAAGGCATATGCCCTCTGCTTTAAGGCAAGGAAGAGTATAAATTAGTAAATAGTCTTGCTTCTCATGACCTAGTACCCTTCAGTTGTCCTAGAACAGCAATATGTGGAATTCCTAGCCAACAAATAGTTCAGTATATCTGGAAGATGCTAGACTGGGTAAGACTGAGCTGGACAAACAAGTCAGAGGCTGATAACAGCTGGCAGTGACTTCTGTATGTGTCATTTCAACCATGTTATCATGTTTACCTGAGGTTCTTGAAGTAGAAAGAGCTAATGAGCTAGATAAACTATCGCTTCCTAATCTTTTATACCAATCATGATTGAACTAAGAAAAAGAGCAAGAATAGTGAGATGCAGATAAGGATTAAGGGATTTTCATTGCACTTAATAGAATAACCACAGATCTTAGTCATACCACCTTTAAAGAAAAGGTGATATATTTTCTATTTTATGTATTGTATCAAAGTATGGTTTTGCTTAATCACTGTCTGCTAAACATTTTACAATGAATATAAACATATTGCACTGAACAATCATAGTTTATAATAGCTGGATTAATACTGTACAGTATCTTACACAAAAGCTAAATAAACCACATTATGGCTATGCACAATCTGTGAACCCATCTTTTGTGATTTAGTGACTTTCAAGGTAAGTCAAATTGCTTTGCTCAATAGTCATCACTTACATAAGACTGGACATGTCCACTAACTCAGCTGACACATTACAATAGACAGGGAAGCATAATTTATCAGTGCATCATATATTACAAACAGTTTTATCTAAATCCTTGCATAGCTAGGACAAACAAGGTAGCTTTACACTTTACATATTTATTCCTGTCAGGTCAGATATACATCACATATTTGCATAATTTGAAAATGAAACATTATGAGTAACTTCATTAATAAGCATTTTCATAGAGAAAACACATAGGACAGTATACTGTAATACATGTTATGGTCTTGCCCATTTTTCTCTCATACTCTAATATCTATTAGACAGTTAAAAGAAACTTTAGCATAACTGGAGGACAGGGCTACTACAGATATCATTTTAAATCCCAGGAACAATTCATAGAAATAATCTAGGAAGTCAACCTTTCTTTCAAAGAAACAGTGACACCTCAAGTCATGAATGATACTGAATACCTAACGTGTCATTCCCTGACTTTTTTCATTTGTCTTTCCTAGCCGGGAAAAGCAGTTTTTAATCACACCAGCAGCCAATCTATATATTTCATGGCTCTCAATTTTTATTGGGTCTATTCGTAGGTGCCTCATTTGTACATCCATTTTCAACCAGCAACTTAGGATCCAGCACAGGTTCATCTGGCAGCCGAAAGCAGAGAAGATATTCCCTAGATCCACCCCAAACACCCATCCCGAATGTCAGCGTAATGACAAGACCTCGGAAACCCGGCATCGCAACTTGGGAAAACCCTTTCTGTGTGGCCTCCGATACCACCCATAACACGGAACACCACCTCTCAGGGCTGCTGTGAGGATGAGTAAGAGAACGCAGGGAAGTCTCTCGCCCCAAGCCTGCGAACAGCGGCTTCCCCCTCCTCCCTGGGGGGGGGGGGCACAGACCGAAGCACCGCGACCCCCGCCATTCCAGCCACGGAACCTTCAGCCCCGAAGGTTCTGAGCACTCACCAGCTTGCGAATTGGCAGCTCCCGAACTGCCCGGGGCGGAGCAGCTGCAGCGCGGGACTCCGGCGGCAGCATAGGAAGAGGCGAGGAGGGCAGAGGGGGAGAGGGCTCTCTTCACTGGAGCAGGTGATCGGAGCAGCAGGGTCGAGGAAGAGGCAGAAGAAGGAGTGCAGCAGAGGTTAGACAGGGCTGAACACAACGACCTAACAGAGCTTTGATACATAATAACGCTACGTACGGCACGCGAGACAGATGAAGGTTTTTTTTCAAAAATAAAAAAAGCCCCGCAAGGGGAGCGGTCTGAAGCTGACCTGCTCTACGGCAATGCCGACTTCTTCCTGCCTTTCCGAGCCCACAGAAGGGGCATGAATTGGAAAAAGAGCCTCGGCTGCCTGCTTCAGAGAGAAAAAGATGCTAGCCCAGGAGAAGCTCACGGAAATTGCCACTAATTGCTGAGACCGGGAACACGAGCATGAGAAGTAAACCTCACCCCTCCTGCCGGCATTGACGCAACCGCAGCTCCCAAGCGTAAGACAAGAGCGGGGGAACAAGGAACTGAAACATCTCTCCCCTTCCTTCCTCATTTAGACGAGTGGAAGGCGTTCGGCACTCATGCAAACGGAAAGTGCAACGCAGGGCTAAACTGCTGACTTCCACGTGAGGAAACAAATAGACAAAGCTTAACTGGGCTAGACACCTATTATGCGTGTTTCTTCCCGCACCCCCCGAAAAATGGTATGTTCTAATCTTGGCACCGAAGTCCCCAAAAGATCTGTTGGTGACGTCACAATGAACGTTGACTAGTTGGGTGGGGGTGGGAGTGGGGGTGTTGGCCGGAACCTCCCCCTGTTTTCCCGTTCGTGGGAAGGGAAGGGGGCGTTGGCTCCCGGCTGATAGCGCGTCACGCGGCGTCTGGGTTTGCCCTTTCATCTCATTCATTCTTCGCCTCTCGTTTTGTGGAGGAAGCAGGTCTTGGTGGAACAAGCTAATGAAAGCTTTCGATTTCCCATTCGCAGTGTGAAAACTTTTGAGAAGAGCGCTCGGGATGAGACCAGAAATTTTCTATATCTTACTAATATGTTCAACCTTTTTAAAAAAAATAACAACTGTAACACTACTTTAGGGGAAAAAAACCAGTGGATTTCTTTGGGCCTGTTTTTCTTAAATCTGGGTGGGGGTGTGTGTGTCTCAAGATACATTGGAACTACAAATCCCAGAATCCCCAACCCTTTGGCATTTGAGAGTTGCAGTCCCAACACATTAGGAGGACAGCAATTGGGGATGAGTATTTTAGGGGGAAAAAAACCCCAGCTACAAAAACATGCCTCATAAAACAAACCTCATGCCAGAAATCTCACCTACAAAAACAGCTTCATGCATAGGAAGAAAAACATGAACAAATATGGTCCTGGTTAGCTGCTTAGAAAGAAAAGTTGGACTTGTGAAGCAGTTTCTGGTCCGAGATGGTTGCTGAAAGGATAGTTACGAAGGACAAAGCAGCTTTGCACAACATACTACACTAAAATGTGGGGTGCTTTATGGCTCTGAGTTGTGTAAACCCAGGCAATTGGGTTAATTCAGCAAAACTATAGTTAACTATTTTTATGGAGAGTCAAACCAGATATAACCTTGAAAATGTGGGATTAAGGCCACTTTCTCATCCTGGTGCCTTCCTAATGTGAGAAACTACAATGTTTATTATACCTAATCAGCTACTGGGAGGGTAGCAAATATATTGGGAGGGACAGATTGAGGAAGATTGGATTAAGGTCTTTTTCCTCTCTACTAATCAGCAAACACAGACACTGAAGACTGAGGTGCGATGTTTTGGAAGAAGATTGTTTTCCATGTGACTACTGAATTACTTTTCAAATGGAATGTAACCAAGACAGATTTTCTCCATCTTGTGACTCTGTTTTTTATTCACCATCCGTGGTATTCTAAAATGTAGTTTGTCTGATTAATCTAGTCACTGTGGTTTGTACCATAGTTTACAGGTTAACATGTGTAAACCCAGTCTCCTTCCCTGGACAGCTTGAGGATCTGCTCCAGGAGAAAAGGAAAATCGGGTGAAGGAGGAAGAGATTGAGTTGCTGCCTAATGGAGAAGTGAGGAAGAGCACCGCCTCCCTGGAATGAGAGTTCAAAGAGGACACCTTTGGCTGTCACTAACCCTACTGGTGAGAAGCAATGTTTGGTTCACTGGGTGGATTGTTCAAATGCATAAGATGGATAGGAGTTGCTCTGTAATTATTATTGCCCTGTTACTGTTATTAGATATTTTGTGGCTGGGATTGGGAAAAAATTAATTAACCCAAAATAATTAGTGGGTTGACTATGTAAGCATTAGTTCCCTGAGAGAGTGAGATTTGATTGCAGAGGGGGTAAAAATGGTGGGGAGAATAATAGTAATTATGGGCAGGGAAAAATATAGCAGGAGCTGGAGGACAAGCCATTCCAGGAAAAGAGAGATCAGATGTGTTATGATCAGGTTCTGGGAAACTTTTCCATCAGTCCATTTTCATGTACATATTTCTTCTGTGGAGTCCTTGGGGTTTTCTGAGCTTGGTTGTTTTCTTGCAGATGTTTAGTTAAGTCTAAGTAACATTTTCAGTACTAAAAGGGAGTGGGGTTTACTCTCTGTTTATATACAGTACCTTGCCCTGTTAGTGTTGATGGGGGAGTTGTTTTTTCTTGGTAGTTCCTAGATTAGGTAGTTGTTTACTGCTTGATTATCTGAGCTGGTAGTTCCTTGTTTGGGGTATTGTTTACTGCTTGACTGTTTGTCTGGTGTTAATCCCTGTTTATTTGGGTGTTGATTGCTGGTAAGGAGGTGTTCTGATCTTTTTGTTTCCTTATTTGTTCCATATTTCCATATTTCTTCCTCATGACAATGGGATTAAGTGGAGCTACCAACCTCTGCAGGGAGGAGGGGCCCATTAATTAATATTATAATGACTTGTACTGCATTTATATGTAAATTCAGTAAACTGCCTAGAATCAATCTGGTTTGGGGTGATAGATAAAACTCATAAAAAACTAAATGGATTTCAGAATTAGAGCATTCTAATGAAGCTAATTGCTGAAAAGTCCCTGATAAACTGCTGCTTCATATACTACTTGGTTGATATACAGAATCTGCTGATAGAAGAGATGGCAATGCCAATTTTAAGGCTTTAAAAGGAGATTAGCTTAATCATGGTGTAGAAATCTACCAATGACTACAAGTCATGCTGGCTAAATAACTACATCCTGGATTCGAGTTACTACATCTCTGAATATCAGTGGCTGAGGTACTATAGTAATAGCTATTTGCTTTTAAGTCACGATGCTGGACTAGAAGAGTCTGCTGCAACTGGGATCTTCTAGAACTCTTAAATGGAGTTAAAACTAGCTTTATATTGGTCCCAGCTTTATACTGGTCCCAGCTCTAGTAGTGCAGAACCACAGATAATTGTTACAGTATGAGTGGCAATGCAAATAGATTTAGTATATTGAAAGTTTAATCCTTAGCTTAAGATATGAAGACAAGCTGTAATAGTTTGGGTTTTAAACAAACAATAGCATCGCTGTAATGTGAATACAGTGGTACCTTGGGATACGAACGCTTCTACTAACGAACTTTTTGGGTTACGACCAGCTCCGGCCGCAAAAGTTTACCTCGATGTGCGAACTCCGCCTTGGGGTACAGTCATTTTTCTGCCCTGACACGTGGTCCGCGGCCATTTTCCCGCTGCGCCGCCCGGTGCCCGGCTGTTTTCCTGCCCCTGACGTGTGGTCTGCGGACGCCAGAACGGATTAATGGTAATTACATTGAACCTTATGGGAAAATTTGCTTCGGG